TTGAAAAATTCGTCGTACGACAAAAAACGGACGCATGTAATATTGGCATTAGTTTCTGATTATAGGACCTCTATAGGGCACGAAAGTCACTAGATTAACAAAGTACTGCCGCCATTTTAGCTCTTAGAAATTACAAAAACATATTATGTAGATGCATGTGTGTATAATAATCATTATATGAATAAACGTACATATTTTATAAATTAACGCAAATTGCTTTCACGTCTAGAAGAAATACTTAAATATTTCTTCAAAGCAATTTGCGTTAATTTATAAAATATGTACGTTTATTCATATAATGATTATTATACACACATGCATCTACATATATGTTTCTGTAATTTCTAAGATCGTATAATCTGCGATAAATGATTGAGTTTGTTTTTAGACAATGTTATCTGTGGATATCATCAATATATATATAATGAAGACGTCTTCCCCAAATAATTTCTAATCGATTCCATTCATAAAACACATTAAATAAAATCGCTGTCTGCTAACTTGACGCATGATAAAATTTTTTAATTACAAGAACAATACTATTTCCCAAATGTTTAAATGCTTTTCCCAAATTTCCTCAAACGATCCCCATATTATATAGACATAAATAAATCATAAATATTCAATTTGTCTGCTATCTTGTCAGTGGCATCCATAGTCCGGTCTTAATCTCAAGCAATGTTTTAAGATGCTAATACGGCTGTCTGATTGGTTCATGCACTAGCTTAAGACCATCTCGAATCTTGAGCACCGTCTATGGATTCCGCTTTTAGTGACATCTGTACGATGCCCTCAGTAAATCTTTATCGGATTGCGACGATGTCGTTGTTGAATGCACTAAATGATGGCGCATCTTGTTTAAATCGCTGTCACACGATTCGTTTGATTCGTCGTAAACAAAACAGGCTGGAATTGCTATTAACGCGAGTTATAATTGTTACAAGAAATAAATTATACTATTTACGTAGCTGGTAAACAAAGTAAGTATCTTATATAATTGTGAATAGTGACAATTGAAATTTCTGTTAGTTTTGTTACAGTGACAAGAATAACCTAGAAATAGGTTATTGTTTACTCAACCTTTTATTAAATTTACTTTTAATTGTATTTTTTATAGAACTTTCTATGTAGTTCTCCTTTTTAGTTTCTTTTTTATGTGTGAATATAATTTTATTTTTTAATTATAAAATGTAAGATAATGTAACAGGATTGTGAGGGGTCTATTAACCTATACATTTTTCAGATAAAAATATTAGAAGAAAGAATTGTTTTATAAGTTAATGTAATTTATTTCAATGCTCATTGATATTTATTCAGATTGAAGCGATTATTTCTTAAACGACATAAAGATGTCTAAGTGTAAAAATAGCATAGGCAACAATAAGGTATTTGTAATTATATATTTATAGAACATTTTGCTTTTAATTATGAAAATTTTACAAAGAGATTTTTAATGTACATTGTTTTAAAGATAATTTTATTATTAGGAATATAGCAGCGCATCTTCTTACACATCTTCGTCATTATCGTCAGACGAAGAAGAGATTGATGCAAGAGATTTAAAACCAATTAGAGAATATTTGTCTGATCGTAAAGTACTAGCTCGACAACTTTTTATATCTGTTAAGCCAGAAAAGATTCGTCTCATGCTACCACAAGTTCTTAAAGTAAATTATGAAATATTTAAGCTAATATAATGATTGTATGAAAATATTCTTTAAAATACGAGTAGTATATATACATATATATTCTTTATTTACATAGCACATGGATTTAAGTGAACTTGAAGAATGGTGTGAAAGTGAGTTAAATGGTATGTCTAAAGCTCGAATATTATCTATATTAAATGGTAAACCTATGTTGGAGTCCTCAGATACAAGTGAAGATTCTGATGATTCAGGTATATTAAATACTAGGTATTTTTAATTTAGAATGTAAGTTTTATAGAATGATCTGCTCATTTATAATTTCCTCTTAATAGGCCCTTCCTTAGAAATCATTTCTGATACAGAGGAATGGTTAACTGATGATGATATATCTAAAAAGGAGAATGGTGCAAAAGGAAAATTGAAGAAAGATAAAACAAAAATTAAAGGAAAAGCGCAAGTTAATAAGAAAAGTAATGTAAATAAGCTTAATATTAAAACAAAATCTAACATTAAAGTTGAAAGTAATGATAAAATTGAAAACATTAAAATTAAAAAGGAAAATGATAAGGATAAAGGAAAAGAAGGAGACAGCTTGTTAGATTTATTAGAGCTAGAAATGCGAGCTCGCGCAATAAGAGCTTTGATACGAAAAGAGGAAGATATAATTCCTTCTAACTCATCACAAAAAAATGACACTCAAGCAACAGAAAATAACATTAGCACATCTCAAGATGACAAAGCGAAAGAGAATTATCGCAAGCAATTAGAAAGAATTATTAGTTCTCAACAAAGTATTAAAGGCGAAGATGAAGATGTCGTTTTAGTAATTCCTAACCCTGCTCCAGTTGTCGAGTTATTGTCTAGTGATAGTGATAGGGAAGAAACACGAGTAAGTAAAGAATTGCAAAACGATGTGTCGAAAGCTGGAAAATCTGTGAATAATTCAGATGAAAATTCTATCAACATCAGTTCACAAGATTTGAAGGAAAGAAAAGAAAATGAAGGAATAATAGAGATAAATAGTACAAATACTAAATCACATCTAACTAACACAAGTGAAGCAATAATGCCCGAAAGAAATGTAGATATAAAAAACAATATATTATCAATATCGATTTCTGCAGATAATGTTGCTGAGAGACGGAAAAAGTCAAAGAAAAAATCACGTGGAAAATTACAACTTGCTTCTACTATAACAAACTCTTCAGAATCAACACAAATTAACGTTACTGAGATTAATGAAGAATCAAGTGATAAAAGTATTAAATCGAAATTAAATCCTGACGAAAATGAAATTATCATTGACGAAGGAGATGAGACAAAACAGAAAGTAACAGAAGAAAGCAAAGTCGAAGAAGAGAGATCGACAGATATAGATGATATTGATTTAGATGATTACTGTGAAGTCATGGAAATAGACAATAGTGATGAAGATAAGAGTCAAGAGAAAATTGTCTCTTCTCAGCAAGAAAATGAGCAGTCTGTATTTGAAACTACTTTGTCAAAATCGGATTCAGCAGAAACTTGGGCTTCACGTTATTATCAGACTGATGACGTTCAAAATGTAATAAAAGAATCGAAAATACAGTCTGAGATTCGGAAACGTTTGCGGGAACGTCAAAGATTATCCAAGCAGAATAAATCACCAAACTTATCTGCACAGCCATCGGCAACTGATGCAACTGTTGCATTTGAGACAGCTCCAACAGGATCAGTGGAGGAATATTTAGCTTTGAAGCGTGCAATGAGTACAAGTAATAGTAACAGTGATGATACTATCATGGAAGTACAATGTACTAGTAACGTTAATAATGATACCATGGAAAATAATCCTGTAGTTATTAATTCTAACAGTGATATTGAAACAAAAGAAATTTTAGAGCAAGATGAAAATAATTCTTCCCAAGAATGTACAGATAATAACGCACAAAAAACTGCAATTTCCGAAGTTGTTATTGCCAAATCGGCTGAAACAGTTGCTGATACAAATAACGATGCACAGTCTAATTGAATTTATTCAAGTTTTTTCAATATTAACATATTAAACAAGTACATTTTTAAACAGATATTTTTCAAAAATTATACAGACATGCGTGTATGCATATTGCTGTTGTATAAAATGATATTTGAGAATATTAGAATTTTCAGATATATTTTTAGTTTATTACTTATTGTTAGTTACTTTGCTATATAATACGATAAAAATTATTGTTTAAAAAGTGTTGATATTTTATACAAATTCTTGGCATGATAATTATTTACATTAAGGGGTAACACTTATGTAATCGGCCGTAAATAAGGTCTATATTTGGGAATTTTTTTTGTTTAATGAATCGTGCTATTCAAAAATGAGTTTTATAACTTTATTAAGCATATAAAAAAGTACAAAAAATAATTTTTTCAAAATTTATTTATCAAAATGGCGGATCTGCAGCAGCGTGATGGAGACAGTCAAAATAGTATGGTGTTCCGCGGCTAGCAGCACAAGTGTCGTAATTTTTGGTTTAGAACAAAAAGCAAATATTTTTATTTTCTTTACTCAAATATCTACAAAAATAGGTAGCCATTTTTGAAAATATTGATTTTTGACAAAATCATTATTTGAAAACACAAACAAAAGTTCCATTTTTGTCAAAAAATAGTCGAGTAAAATCAGCTGTAACTCATCAAAAAAATTTGTAACTTATCAAAAAAATTCTACGTATTTCTTTAGAAAATGTGATTTATTAAATACTGTTAAAATTTGAATAGGTTAAAAATTGTTTGAGTTCTACTGCTAGCAACTTAAAAAATACTGTTTTCAGAAGAACGCGTTTAAAGTTTTGAATGTGAATGCTTTTAAGTTAACAATTGAATTTTTAGGAGCCTATAACTTTTGAAAAAAAATTATGTATCGCAATAAAACCACTCGCACTTCATTTTTGAGACCCTAAAGTGTATTTTAACCCTCCGTGAACCAGGTGGAAAATTAACATGGATCAAATGTGGGTATATCTCATATCCCATGTTTGTGTGTGTGTGCTACACTTCATTATAAATATATACTATAATTTAGTATAATTGATAACAACGCACTCTCCAGTTGCACGAAACCGGCAACACATATGCGCGGTACTTGTTAAGAAGTTATAGAAATTCTTGCTGGGGTATGTCACACCCCATCTAGTTCACGGAGAGTTAAAAGGAAAAAAAATCGATTTTTTTGAGAATTTTTTACATAGGTGTTACCCCTTAAATAAAAAGCAAAAGTACAATTATGTAATTTTTTATTTTAAATTATTATATTGGGATTTTTTTTTTCAAATCCATACTTATCACATTTTTACTGAAAGATTGTTAATTTATACGTTTTGGGTGATTATGATTGAAGGACTTCAATACTGTAATTTTAAATGAAATTTTGAATTTGCTGTTTAAAGATCTTCCTGATATTTTCTTCGATTTTGTTGCGCAATTCAGTATTTATTGTATGAGTGAGTTGATTGGTTATTAAATTAGTGAATAGACCTAAACCAGTTATTTGTAAAGCGATTTGGCCAATTTTTACTTTGACGTACTCCAAATTCACAGTGCACGCTTTATCATAATCAATGATTAGTTTTGCCGCTATTGATAATCCTTTAATAGTTCCGAATATCTTGCCACTGAACGTGATAAAGGTACATGTAAGCTGTATATTAAAGGCAAATATTAATTTAGAAAAAATTGAATGTTTTTATGCCCAATATTTTATCATTAATATCTGGTAATTTATAAACCTTACCTTATAATTACAATGAAATTTAACAGTGGACAATCTAAAGCCAGTTTGTATACTTTGTGTTTGTCCTACGTTGGATATAACTGTATCTTCCGTCCTTTCCAAATTCGAAAGATCTCTAAAAAGTTAATTACCTTGAAGTAGATCATTCAATAAAAATATCGTACAAAAAATATTCATTAATTTTTCTGCTTATGTTATATGATAGCAGTGCTCACCTTAAGATTATATTATTTGCTTTGAAATAACATGGTATTACAATTCCTAATATCAGGCTTATGTAATGTGTTTCCTCTAAATTAGGAATATCAATTGATATGATCTTCCGTTTAATATAGTTTACCATTGTGTAGTTTTTTAGAAGGATGTCCACAGGCATGTTTATGTTTAACTGTACATGAAAATTTAGATTATTATAGGAACGAAATATAATTTACAAATAAGAAAGTTAATAAGATTACGTCAACTCTCAAATTGTCAGGATGAATAATGCGGTCTTTATCACATCTATGTTTGTAACAATGTTTGTGACATTTGTTAATATTTTGAAGTTGCTCTTCGTTTATCGTTCCTACTATCTCACAAAGATGCTGTTCCGCATAAGATTGAACATAATAAATGATAGCCCCTTTTTCAAGCTTTGATTTAATGCTGAAAGAAAATTCTGTTTAATAAAGAAAAATTTATTGTAAAATTTAGAATGACTAAAAAATGTGGTTTTATGAGATCTAATTATTACTACATTTTATGTTATTTAATTTATTGTTTATTACATTCATGTCTAAAGCTGCTCTATGCACAAGTTTATGTATCGATCAACAATGAAATCTTAAATCGTATTTTTAATTGTTTTTATTATACAATAAATTTTTCTTTATTCTGTCTTTTAGCCTAACATACAGATCTTATTCCAGAAAAATATCAGTATTTTATTTTCGTAATAAAATTTAAAGGATTCCATGCTTCTTACTTGTCTTTGGTATTCATTGGAAAAAATGAACAACATTCTTGGACTGTACAATTCTGCTTGTTTAGTTTTCTGTAACGATGGAAAGGCGGAGACAATAATTATTGGACGGGCGGACTATAATTATTTTACAAAACGAATAGTCGCGCTTAATTTTTTTTTTCGTTATTTAAACGATTATAGTGCGTTAAATTTTCTTGGAGCATATCAATTTTCTAAAATGATACTACTAGCCAAGAAAGTTTCAGATGAAATATACTGTTGGGTCATTGGATAGTATAGATGACATATACCTAAAGAAATATAATCCTTTGTAATTATTAGCCTGGATATTGCGGATATTGAGGATAAATAACAACAGAGTAATAAATTGGCTGACATGAAAATGTATATTAAATTAATTATATAACTTGATCAATTTAATCAGAAATTTACATATATGTTAACAGAATTAATTTCTACTTTGTCATCAACTTTCTATTGGAAACTTCAATCTTTACCGTAATTAGGTAAATAGTTGCGTATTAATATTCAATATTAAGGTAATAACACAGTTTATCTGATAACATGATTAATTATAAAATGAAAAGGAAATCACATTAAAAATTTTTTCTATAGAATAATTAATATTTGCAGAAATTTAAATTGATGAATTTGCGTAGTTCTTATTCAATTTAACATTTGAATCGATTCCTCTTGGAATAATAATTACCTTCTGAATTTTGCGAAGGTTTGATCGAAGACAACATTCACTGGATTCCTTTCGGGGTAAAAGAAAATTCCGATGTGTGGGGTATACCTAATTATTAATTCAGTACCGTAAACAACATGTTTGTTTTGGGTTATTTGGACCGTGAAACTATCCGATTGACTGCGTATTGAAATACAAACATTAGGGCCATAATAACAATTTTTACAGTTATTCGTGTGGAACCGTTCATTGACGTCATGTAAAAAGAATCTTTGAGCGATAGTATACATTAGATACATCTAAGGTCGTTTCACATATAATTTTGATCACTTGTCCTGACTGTGGTAAAGTAATATAATTAGAACGGCCCTCACCTTCCAGCTATTTGTCACGTTTGCGAAAGGTTGAAAGGAAACATTATTTTTACGTTATTGCGTTTAAAACGATATTATCGTGATGTCGCAAACCTAACTTGAGAACTTACATCTCATAACAAAGTTTTATTCCCGAGTGGATGTGTGCGCGCAAATCATCTTTTCCAGTTTACATCAGAATTTGTATGTACCATTAAATTTCGAATTAAACGTTTTTTTTTTTCGTGATTTCTAATAAGTGATCTGCTTCTTGTATTATGAATAATTTTTAACTTTATATTATTCCATTTTTTACGGTTTTTATTTTTCAGAGAAGCATTTACGAAAGAATATAATGTATAATGCTATCACATTGTAAAAAAAATATGTAAAATTATATAAATAATATGTGTAAAAATTACATAATTTAAATATGTATTATTTATAGTGGAAAAATCTAAAATAGGACGATTTTACAGAATAATGAATATTTTTATCTTTAATTGTATAAATATATATTTATATTAGATGGAAAATTACAATAATAATATTTTATAGTTTTTATGCAAATGTATGTTTATTTTTGTAATATATATAACATGTAGTGGTAATATTACACATATTTTATCTGTTTATAACTTTACTTACGTAAATACACTTTTAATAGTGGGCCTTAAAATTATCTACTATATAGTTGTAATTTTACATATAATTTTTTTATAGTGTAGGTATTACAAGAGATTTTATATTAAAGTCTACCATTCTCTAAATCTGAATCAGTGGCATACTTAGCACTGGATAATCAGTGAAGTTGAACCAAAAAAGAAAGAAAGTTTGAACATTAAATAATTAAAATATTGATATTTGCACGTTAATTTCAATCTTCTAATACTATAATAATTAAATTTATGCACTAAAATAAAGCCAGCTAGATTCTTACATTTCATTCACTGATTACCAGTGGCATATTTGGCACTGATATCAGTGATTATCCATTGTTTCAGATTTAGAGAGAAAGTAGATTGCAGTAGATCAAATAATAAATTGACTGAATATATTTAATGCAATGAAAAATACACAATACAAAACATTAATATTTAATTATTTATAATATTTAATTACTTACGTCTTATAAATTGTCGTGTTTACTGATGTATACTAGCATCGTTTAATTGGAAGTGGATATATAAATACTTCAGTGCAATTATTTAAACTGATTGATAAACTGATATTATTGATATAATACTGATAATATTAATGGAGTACTGATAATATTGATATGATACTGATATTGAACAAAAGACAATTATTAAAAGAATTTACCGATTCCAATCTACTCTCGTATTTATTGTTACTTATACTAAGATCCAGTTCGATTATATAAAATTAACTTTAATTTCGGTTTAATTTACTGTTTACCTTTTCCTTTCTCAGAATTAGAAAAGATAAAGAGTAAATTGATTCGAGATTATTAATCTTACATTGATGGAACCGAGTTTAAGTAGTGTAGCACACTTTATAATTTTTACTGTATAATTTCATAACGTTGGTCCATTCGTTCGTCTGCAAACTTTATCAAGAAGGGTTTAATTTTTTTCAAATTCCGTTTTTGCAATAGATACCAGGACTTTTACAGTTCTACAGAGGCAAAATATGAATCCAATCAGTTAAATCGTAAAGTGATTAACTCTCCGCGAACCAGGTGGGGTGTGACATATCCCAGTAAAATGAATGTCTATAACTTCTTAAAAAAAAGTACCGCGCGCATGTGTGTGTGTTGCCGGTTTCGTGCAACTGGAGAGTGCGTTGTTACCAATCATACTAAATTATAGTATATTTATGATGAAGTATATTAGTATAAGGTATGAGATATACCCACATATGACCCACGTTGATTTTCCATCTGGTTCGCGGAGGGTTAAAAGTTAATGTCAATAAGATTTTCAGTAATATAGGACAAACCAAATGACTCAACTTTTTAAAATTTTGTTTTTTTTGCTGCACTATTTTGTTACATGTGTTGCAACGGTTTATTTTATCGTTTCATTGTCTATTCTTGATGAACACCGATGCCGCAGAGAAAAAGGGGAAGACCTTTTTATCGCAATCTATAATATTATCGATTGTTCGCGTGTTTTTGAAACATTATCAACTATCACTTGAATTACTGATCAACATATATGATTGTGTGAAAGGCACGAGAAAAGTTAGATTATGAATAGATGATGGTTTATCGCACCGCCGAATCTTATGATTCGATTAGTAAAATAACCGTTTTACATATTGAAATTTGAATGTGATTATAGCGTAATAACATGTTTCCCTTTCTTTATCGATCTTTGAAAGTAATTGTACTTTGAAAGAAATTTGTTACAAGCACGCATTTGTTGTAAGAATACATACATATTCTTTTAATTTGTTTGCACCGTAATTTCTGTCAGGTGCACGTAAAGAGTGACACCTTTTAATTAAACCTTTTGAGCAAGTTTAAGCGATCTTTCTCGTTGTTTCGCGACTCGGGAGGTTGCGGAAACGTACGTATTAATCTGCATATCATCGCGCGCATCGCGATGTAATTTTAAACCGCGCTATTCTCCCCAAGTGCAACATTACACGGCAAAGTGGCTAACGTTACGGGAAACCGAGTCGTGACGGCGCAATTTCCTTCGCGTTTATATCCTAGACGAGGAACAAAAAGCCTCGCGAGAAAATCGCGTTCACGTGAGGTGGCCGGCAGTAGTCCGCGCGAAAGTTGATGCACTTTTACGCTGCGCCGGTAGTGATGTATAAGCGATCCTGTACACGATCAAGGAAATGCAGAGTCAGTTGTAATGCGTAATCGTAGTTACTGCACTGTAAAGCGTGATGTACAGTGTATAATATTACGACACCATCGTGTGTACACACAATCCTCCGGATCTTCCCTAGAATTTCAAAACTTTTTCGTGATGACATAAATGAGGCAGAAAATGAGAAATCGATATATTGAGATGAGAAATATTATCAATACATTTTGCTGTATAAGATAATGAACTTGTGCAGCGTTTATATTGTAATTTTTCTTCATTAAAATTTTTTCTTTTATTCTCAAATTAATTATAGTTTGTGTAAAGAATAATAAAATTTTCTAATATCAGATTTTCTAATATCTTTAGTCTTGTTTATTATTGTTACTTGATATCTTATTACTTTATTTTCTCTCTTGCCTTATAATTAACTGTTAAACGCGAATTGTCACATTCACATTTATATTTATATTTTTATATATAATAACGAAAGGAGATTAAATGGATAATTATTTGTGTTATTTTGTTATTTTGTGTTGTTTGACGGATTTTTGAATGCCGATAAGTTTCTTTGTTCTATCGCGTAACATGCAATTTGTTATAGACGTTTCTCTTTTGATGAAAGTTAAATTGATAACTTCGCTGTAGATAATAAAGTTACTCTAACAATGAATTTAACCGCACTTTCTGCGATGTGCTTTATAAGAATTCTAGGAATTTACCTTCAAATATTACGCAAAAGAAAGTAACAATTTCGTTGAATTATTTTGGTCTATTTATGCGATATGACGGATATGACTATCAACTGCGACAGCTTTCTCGTGGATCGATATATTATTGTTACTAGCGCAATTAGAAAAAACCACGCGGACCGACTAGAATTTCCAGATAATGCGACTATTTTCTGCAGTTTAAGATTAAATGGTCAAGTTGGGAGAACATAAAGCTATAATGGCTTACGATTGACATCGGTAGGAGTTTGATCGATTTTAAGTTAGCAGGAAAGAAAATAGCAGAAATTGAACCCTATAATTATATCAATAAAGTCCTTTAAGTCAAATATAACAATTTCGCGATACGATTTCCAAAAAAGGAAAAGAGAAAAAGATTATAATAACTTATGAAACTGATGTAATTAAATGTATGTTATATACATGTACAATTATATGTATGTATATAATGATTGATTACGTACAACTGATTCGAAGAAAGTATCGACGACTTTTCAGTATCAGTATAACGTCATTATCAATGTAAATAAATAAATATCTATGATCTTTGTTAAGAAATATATCTTTGTTTATGAATTTTAAAAAGAATTTTATAATAATGATACGATTCGATTAATTTCGCAAGTCATTGTACTTATAAAATTTGAACATTTTGAACAGAGTAAATGCATATACATCTAGAGGTATATAATTTTAATAAAAATAAAAATGTTTTGCTTATTAATTTATAGGATAAATCATATTGTATCATATTAACAACTACTCGACTGGAATAAATACGTTGATTTTCTGTCACTTATTGTAATAACGTTAAAGGTTTATTTGAGTTCTGATAATATTGATTTATAAACTGATAAAAATTTATACATATCTAATGAATACATGGATAAAAATTATAATCAATTTTTCTTAAACAAAAATCAATACATAGGATATTATATTTTTTGTTAAATACTTTTTAATAGATATGATGAATAAAATATAAATAGCATTATGTAAATTAACAAATTTGTTTGTGATAAATTGGGCGATTACAAGTTTCATTGAAGTTCCCCTTGGAAGATTTAATTGCGAGTAAGAACATATCGGTAGGGCTATGCAAAAATATCGTAGATTACCTTGAATTGCGAGCCAATTAGAACCGTCCAATTATACCGATTTATTATAGTCCACACGCTCTTTTCACTCTTTAGGGTTATTACCTCCGTAATTCGGATCGATAACGTGGCAATTTACTTGGCCGCTCGGCTAACCTCGGATTTATCACTATTTCGCACGTATAAGAATTAATGTGCAATTTAGCCAATTATTTCTAATTATAATAATAGTTATTGGTTTTTACAGGCAGTTATTGCATTTATTGCCAAGAGTTATATGAAGAAGAATTATATGAAAAAATATTATGATCTACAAATTCTAAGATCGTATTATTGTATATTAGAATCTTAAACGACATTACGAGAGAATTTTGAGATAAAATTAGATTTTGAATACTTGATTAAAAAGATTGACACGTGTTTTTCTATTACTTACCATTTATCTGTTCTTATTTTAAGACTGTCTTAAGTAATGTCTTAAGATGCTATCTGATTGGTTCATGACATCTTAAGACTGTACTTAAGATGGTCTTAAATATAAGATTTATATTATAATATAATATATACTTTAGGTATATCTTAGGCTGCATTGCGATAGTCACTGCTAATACTGAAAATCTGTAGTATATAATAACCAATAATGATAAGGAGTTACTTTTTACAAAAAGTAACGGTAACGCATTATTTTTATGAAGTAAATGAATTTACGTTTTTAACCGTGAATTTTTAACATTAAACTTACACTCATACTAATACTTATGTTGCCAATTTGCAATCATACACAGTAATATCAGCTTTAGGCGATGCATTTTTCGCGAACAAAATAAGGAAATATCGCGAAAGTGCATAGAGCACAACGACCATCGTTTTCTGCCTCACTCAGCCGCGTCGTCTCTCCGCCCACGAGATTTCTCTAATTGAGCGCGATAAGATCGCCGTCTGGAATCTTATTAGCGGCACGGTCGCGACGTAACGAATGTCCGTAAAAAGAAACGGTCGGGGGTCGCTCGTTCACATAAAATCACAGTTCCGCACTGCATTTACATCATAAATGTTCATTGTGCCTCGGGTTACGCCTAACGCTATGGGAAACTACTTGAAGTAATGTTACCTTCGACAATTGTGAATTAATATCATCGACATCTACATCCTTGTTACTTTCCATCCTGGTGTCTTTTCCGAGTTCCGAAGCAGATGTTCGTAACCGAGATTGATGCTGACGTTAAATCACAATTCCTCAAAACGTAACGTGTTGTTTGTTGCGCAATTGAGACGTCAAGGCGCATGCAATATGACTTTATTTGAGTATTATCGCACTTGAAAGAAATGTAATTGAGAAATGGTTAATAAAATGCTAGGCAAATTAATATAAAATCCTTTTCAAGCGTTTTTCATTTGGAAGATAAAAGATAATAGTTTGATAATGGTACACTTTTTAACTGTATACGTTAATAGAAAATTCTAGATCTTAGAATTATTATTATAGCTTTTACAATCTCTGAGAAGCAGCTATCATGTGCTTTTCTTGAATGGTCCACCGTTTGTTAAAGAAGATTGTGTCACAGTTAAACGGAATAGCGTATAGTCACTGCGTGCATTTATTAGAGACACTTATTATATAATCCTGCGTCGGCTATGCCGAATGTTTATAAACGTAACGTGTGCATCCCAGTTTATTCCTGTATGCACATGCGACTGATCGAAGAAATCTCTCTTTCCTTTTACGCGCGAACTTCCTAGGCTATTAACTATGATTACCTGGCACGCATGTGTTAGATAACCCGAGATTTGCTCATCGACCGAGCGTGTAACACTTTTGCACACTCGCAAGAAGATAAATTTAGTCAAGACTTCACATCGGTCTGTCAGTCTTGTTAAATGATGTTTGTCAATCTTCACGTTTGTCTAATCGATTACATAGAGACATAGACGATATTGAATGCATTGCCTTTCCATGACCAATCAATTTTCGCGACCGTAACAATATTAATGAGGTTCGATTATAACGAAAGTACCGCTCGTTGCGGCATTTAAACAAAGGCATGTCATCGTCGTTCCCCATAATTTCACCAAATTGCATTGGGTGATGCATTTCTCGATGTATACGTAACAAGCAAGCGTGACGGTCTCTCTTGTCCCAGGAGTCGACTTCCTTGGATTTTAAGATCACTCGTGTGGCTTGCGCCAGTCGCTTTCAGTTTCTAGTCTAGTATGCGCGGCGGAAGCGGATCCAGCATGCGGAAACGAATTCAGGGTGTGGTGAAACGACGCTGCTATCCGATCATACGATATCGGGACGACGAAAGTAAGGCGCTGGGGAAAAGGAAGAGTGCCGCGAGAACGAGCCGCAATGACAACGATGACGTTCAATATCTCTCGTGTGGCTCGTGTTTCTCAAGTCGGTTCGGTTTATCCACGTATTAATGAGACATACTATCGTCGGGACGAATCACGCCGCGCGTAGGATGGGTCGTATAATGGTACATAAGATGCACGTATGTGAAAGAACTTGTATAGTTGAGGTACAGGTCTGCAACCGTGGGAGGCAATTAGGTCTGCGTCCTGACTGATTACCACAGAGTTATCCTAGCTATATATGTGAGATGAACACACACACAGAAAAATATTATTCTATTGCTAACAAAAATAATTACTCAATTTACTTTCTTTTTTCAAGTAACGGTTTTTTTTCTTTCATTCAGTAACAAAGAATATTTTCTTGATAATAATCTTAAAATATACTTATTATCAGAGTTCGTTCGTATTTAAAATATATATTTGAAATTAAAGAAATAAAATAGTTATTTAGTCTTTATTATTTTAAATAGCTTCTTATGTATTTCTTGTTTAATATTTTATATTAATAAGTTTTCGGAACCTATTTTATGTTTTCTATGTTAAATAAGTTGTAACAGTTATTTTATCGAGCCTTGCTTATTATAAATTTTGGAAAAATTCATTAATATGTACGCAAGAATTTATTATTATTATTTTTTAAGAATATTTATAAAACTGATCGGAAGCGATTTTACGTAATAAACAAATTTGTTTTAATTAATTAGTGTTCTTGATTTAATTATTAAACTTATTTAGGAATATATTTTCAAAATATGTTCTGAATAAATTTGATGCTTGTAATGAATTTATGATTTGCGGATACATGAGCTTTTGAAATACTTGAAACAAAAGCAGTTATTATTTGTACTGTATGTATTTTTCTGTGTGCAGTGTGCACAACATACGGGAAAGTTAGTTTAAAGATGATACAAAATCTGAAAACAAAAGTGAATGCAGCTGCAATATTATTCGCATAGTGTATTTACGGAAAAGAATGCGAGGAAGTCTATTAATTCCAATGATGCCGATTTATGTTCGGAGTAAATCTGGTTATATCTCGTAGGCTAATTAGATTAGCAATTAGGTCATTAAATTGAGAAATGCACAACGTTAAGAGTACAGTTAATTTACTGTCGTTTTATTAATTTATACGCATTTTTCAGATATTTCGAAGGCACGAACATGTTTACGATCAATCGATAAAATATAATATTAAATGAAATTAAATGATAGGCTTAGTATTTTAAATAGCAATTGATAGATTGCTTCTGATGCGTATATTAAAAGCATTTATTTGACTACTTTTACACCAGTTTACATGAGAAATATGTGTGTGTGTGTGTAATAGAATTTAAAAAAAATCATGTATTTCAGAACATGTTACGCATAATTAGAGCATATTCGCATGTAAAATAAAAGCAACTAAAATATCGATAGGTCCATAAATTTTGATAACATCGGACAGCTGTCGTAAACGCGTTTGTGCGTAAGTAGCGTTTCAAAATCACGCAACTGTTTGGCAACATGCCCTTTCCGATTTTTATACACTTTCCACCGCGTCCCAGGAATGATCGGCGCTCTAAAAAATCAAACGACGCAATTGGCGGCTTAATAACTTAGTCGTGCCAGGCTGATTCCTTGTGGCGCAATGTGCGCATACGTCGCGCACGATAGCGCGTGATGCGTGTGTTGAAAGTCTACGAGATTAATCTCCTAGGGAGAGAGGCGAGAGGATATTCGCGGATATTTACTGCAATTTTCGCACACTGACATTTACGTTTTACGCTTTCCCCTTCCGCCGGCGCGGCCGTTCGTTTACTTTAACGATTCCTACATGAGTGACGCTTTTTCTATGCGGTACGTATATGCCGCTTATGGTGAAACAGGTGTACCTTTCTTGGCGCAACTCGCGTAATATCGAAGAGTGAAAGTTCGTCGCAATTCCTCATAATCGTATAACGTGTCCGGCTAATACGTTTCTCTGCCGCTTCCTCCCCCAACCCTCCCGACATTCGAATGTTTCGTAAGCAGTAAATTTTTATGTAAAAAAAAAATACTTTATTTATTTTTACATTTACGGGGTGTATAGTACAATTCGAGGATTGGATCACGAAGAAATACAATATTTGCGCATCGTATTGACTTCTATTAATTAACGATGTGGCAACTTTTGCCGGTCGTTCCTCGATCCTTCGACGATCGATCCTTCGAATATCTCCTGGTCTCTTGGGCCACGAGCCGTCAAACAAAAGGGGAAGATGATGAAGTCTTCGTTTCTTCTCATGCGCTCATTTTCTCAATAATGTCCGCCAAAATCACCGCCGCCAAAGTCGTGACCGCCAAAGTCGTGGCCGCCAAATCCACCGATATCACCGCCGCCGAAACCACCCTCGTCGTGATGACCCTTAACGACTACGGGATAAGGCTCTTTGACGACTACGGGTACCTTGACCGGGTAGGGCACTGGTTTCGACACTTCGACTGGGACCTTGATTGGTATCTTGACCGGATAGGGTATCTTGACGGGCACCTTTATCGGTACCTTGACCGGGAAGGGCACTGGCTTCTCCACGGGGTAGGGAACGTGCTTCGTGACCTCCACTGGGTAAGGTTTCGGTACGTGGACCGGGTACGGGCGATCGACAGGTACTTTGATCGGCACCTTCACCGGATAGGGCACGTGCTTCGTGACCTCCACCGGATAAGGATGCGGTACTGGCACGTGCTTTGTGACCGTAACCGCCTTGATGTGATCAGTAGAGATTATTTCGTGGCCACCACCAAATCCACCGCCTCCGAATCCACCGCCTCCGAGACCACCGCCTAAATCATGGCCACCGAAACCGCCTCCAAAACCACCATGATCACCTAGACTTAGCTCCAGTCCACGTTTCGATTTTTCATCCTTGGGCTTAGCGCTAGATTCGGTCTTCTTCGCCTCTTCGGCTACGACCGATAATACTAGGCCGCATAGGAGTATTACCTGCCGAAAACAAGGAAATGGATGAATATCTTTGATTTGATAAATTGTTTGATAAGTATTATCGTAAGATTTGAGTATATGTGAGATAGGTATATAAGGCTTCTCTCTCTCTCTCTCTCTCTCTCTCTCTCTCTCTCTCTCGTTGTAATTTGTTTTGATAATTTTTTGTGGTATTATGATTTGGGAAAATATAAAAAAAAATTTTTTAATTAGGTCATCGAAAAAATTTTAAATCAAATTATTATTAGATAAATTTGAAATATATATAATTGTATTGTATAACTTTACTAAAATTTTTGGAAATATGATTTGTCAATTTTTTAAAAGGTTTTAAAAGGAACGAAGTACCGAAGGAAATGAAATTTTAATGATTTCGAGTTTGGTATATGACAAATTCATAGTCAAAATTTGCTTTTAAGCCTATTCATATTTATTAAGAAATAGGCCGCTTGAAAGTGAGAGATTGCGCCTACAACGCGTTACAGACCGCAAAATACGGATCGTGTTTCAAGCGATTCGAGCGGCTATCTTGTTGGAGCTACTCACTTTCAGCTTGTCGGTGCTGTTCATGTTGGTCGGCAGTGAGCACACTGATACCGCCATGGTCTACCCTCGCTTTTATAGGGGACGCAACGGCGTGTCCGCTGGGCAACTCGAGCGTGCCGATGAAATTGTCGACGGGTAGGAAGTTAACAGGAGGAAAGGAAGACAACGCACTGTAGACGACGTCTCCCTTTCTTCGTCTCCCTTTGTCTTCGCGTCTATTTCCTCTTTGCTTTTTTTCTTGACCGTCTCGTCGCGTTTTCGAGTCCGTTTAATTCGAAGTAGAAACGCGTTTCTGTAACAAAAATCGAAAAAGATCCGTAGTACTTTGATACGCTTGCGTGAACTTCTTGCATAAATTTTGCTCGGTGATGGCATATGAGTAGAAAAACGAATAATTCATTCATTGATAACAAATTCACTTAATCATTATCTAATTGTAAGTTATTTTTATTTTAATGATCACTTTATCTTCTATTAAACTTGAAACATTAATTATACTAAATAAAGTTTATTATAGTCTATTAATGTGTATGATATGTTATCTTAGGATATTTTAACATTTTATAAAAATATGTACTTGGTACATAAAATGGTTATATTTCATATATTCCTTTATAAGAAAAAAAACTTTTTGTATAAGTTTCCATATTTTTATCAGTATCTATTTTTATTTTGTTAATACGTTTCATGGTTACGCATTATAAAAATCTTAATTAGAAATCGGATTGATACATTAAAATAAGGTTAAATATTAAATATTATACATAAATATTTTATTAATGTAGTTTGATTGATATTTTTCTGTGTTCTGCGCTTTCGAGAACTCATAAATATTAAAAGCTTAATTAATCCGAGAAGAGAGAATTGAAATTTTTTGACAACATGAAAGTGTTTTTCTTAAAATATGATAGTAATAAGGCTGAATAAATTAAAAAACGAGAAAGGAAAGGGCTACGAGCCAAAAGTCTGTCGTTAAAATTTAAAAAGTTAATAAAACATAAATTAGTTAAAATCTAAACTTTAATAATATATGTTATAAATAAAAACATACGTTTCTATCCTTATCGGATCATTATCAATGTTAACGTATAATTAGTTAGAACGCGGGCGAAACACTTTCTCAAAAAATTATGCAATTTAATTAAACTAAGTGTAAATATCAAGGTCCGTATTTTTCTCTTGTCTCAAATTAGACTTAGTCCCTTCACATTTATACAAACTCACTAAACTTAAAAATTTCTCACGTATAATAATTTCTCGTACAAATGACTTGAAAGGATTCAATTTATTTCCGATTTTCTGTCAATTTTTTTATCAAGATTCTTATATTAAACTAACTTTTGACTTAAGGTATTTATTCTCCTTTAATTTAGCTGCTACTAAATTATATTAATTTAATATAATAATATATATATACATTTATTTAATATAATAATATATATATACATAATACAATTTTAATTTTCACACATTAATTTACTTAATGTATTACTTTGTATTATATTATTTTTGTGATTACTTATATTTGTAATTATTAACGGAAACAATAATCTTGCGTCAACAATTCTATACATTGTAACTATCAACAGAACATAATTTGCTAATTTATAATTGACATCGGCGTTATACGTTCATAATCTCCAAGTCACATTTTGTTTATTGAACCGAGGTAAAGAATCGAAGAATTGATAATAGCGTCGATTAAACTACGAGTGAGAGCGAATCATTATTTTTTTAAAACCGTTTCTTCTAACTAATTATGCGCTAACATTGATAATGATCCGATAAGGATTGAAACATTTGTTTCTGTTTATAACTAATACATGTCATTAAGTTTAGATTTTAACTAATTTATATGTTTTTACTAACTTTTTAAATTTTAACGACAGACTCTTGGTTCGTAGCCCTTTTCTTTCTTGTTTTTCTTAACTTATTTTTTTCTTTCTACGGATATATAAACATTCAGTCTCAACTTGTTCGAATTTAATATACTCGCTTCATTTCCATAGTCATAGCATGTTCAACGTATTATCTCTTTCTTACAGTTTCGTGTGCCGCGATATTTGTCGCGCCGAGAAGAAGATAGCCGTCGTCACCAGCCGTGAAATTAGAGAGAATGATTCGAAGACGTTGAACGCTATACTGCTTTAATAAGAAGTTGTTGGAACTCGTTAACGCGGTCGGATAAAATTCTTGCGTACCGGAAATGGTTTTCGCTGCGAAACGTAGAAACCCGGTTTCGCTTGGTGATGGCGGCACGATTTTTAGTTTATCACACGTAGTTCCCGCGGGCACAGTTAATCTCGGAATGACTTTGTATCTCGATCTCGGTTCGAAGGGTATTAGAATACTCGCGTATCCATGGTTTATCAGGGTTATCGGTACGAATAAATTTCCATACATTTGAATTTGGATTTCCATATTTGAATCCGAAAATATTGATTTGACTTCTGGCGGGATAGGGAGTGTGTTTCGAGAGGTTGAGGGTTCCCTCCCTCTTGATTGACCGTCGATCGAACCGCAGCGAAAATCGAGGGTGGGTTGTATGCGATAGTTTCCACTTGACCTATACCCGAGGATTAAATCGTTTTCAATGAATTTATAGTGATTCACTAGAGACCACAATCTGCTCGCGTTACTGTTTTCCGACACGATCCCAAAATCCGACAATCGACAATTTTAGGGGCATCGGAAACTTCGGTTTTCTCCCTTTCAAGAGTTTTCTCGTACGAGAGTCTCTTGGTAGCAACTTATTGAAAATTAGTTAGTACATTTACTACGAATTTTTCGCATTTGAAAGGTTCTCTTGGAAGGTATTTATTGCTACGTCGAATGATAACGAAAAAAATTATGCCACAGAACGTAGGCAGTTAATTAGCTGAAACATCGTTTCTGGCTAATCGACAATTGCGCGAGTGTGCATGACGACTAGCTATTAATTTCTGAAGCCGTAAGTCTAATTCATTGAATTTAAAACTAATGACACGCGCTGATGCCGAGATGACTAATTTTCTGCGGTCATTTCTACTCTAAACCGGCTATCACTGTATATGTTTTTATCGAAATAGCAACGACAGACCTGTACAAATTGATTGAAAGTTACCGATTGCTGCGCTTTAAACTTATTTCAATATATTATATGTTTGCATAATACATGTATAATATAAATTAACGCTATTTATTTATGTTATTCATATTAATAAATTAATTTTACGCACTAATGTTATTATGTGCGCACATATAATATTAAATCAGTAATAATAAAATGTTTTGATAGGATTAATATATAGATTCGACATATTAATATTAAATAACATTTGATTAAAATGATCTTATTACGAAAGGTTTAACTTTACGCAGTTCGCAGACGTTTTTGTTCGTCGCGATGTAGAATGCCCACGTAACGTTATAGTTAATTCTTTCTCAGGTTAAACTTCTCTGTGCACTTATTGTGTCATAAGTGGCTTTGCGCAAAATGTTATTACGTTCTGAATTACATATACGAGCAGCGCGATTTTAATTGCGAAGTTATTTGTTCGAAAGTCTTCCTGCAGCAAGAATAACGTCAGGAAACTGTTGAGCTCGCTGTATGAATATCAGATTAAATCTATCGCGGTGAAAACTTCAGTCGGGTTTTTTTTTCGTTCGGACGATTGTAATATCATTACGTATACGGAACTTGGTGAAGTAAGCTGGCCGATTATATTTGCCGGATATAATGCAAACGATACGTGCTCATATCGAAGTTGGCGATCCCGGTGATCGTAGACTTTCTACCAATCCCCCGATATTTATGAGGCCCCAATTATGTAAATTTTGACAAATCGCACTTCCTCCCCACAAATCTCGTTTAGAAAACTTTTTCGCAAAACTACGAAAATCGCTCTTGATCTCATACGTGACGCAAACCGAACTCATGTGTGCTCGTATGCAGATTAATTCCCTGCACGTGAACACCTGTGTCTAATGTCAACATGTATAAATGTCTGCATGTAGTGTACCTTTCCCCTGCCAAAGTTCATTAGAATCGCAGGGTCGACGTCATTAATTTAACCAACGGTATTTTTTCAAACAGTAGTCTCGTCCCCGTTAATTGATTTTGCGGGAAGCCGTCTCTGAGAAGTCTGATGCGAACTTTCAATTGGCGACCCTTATCTCCGTAGAATTTTTTTTCTCGAAGTTCGAGTCGCTTGAACTTTAGACCGCAAAAGAGGGTGGCGACGGTGGCGTATAAATGCACCCTAAGTGCACCAGTGGATTCTCGCGCGTTACGAGACGACAGTGCGGGCGGACGTCGTCGGTAGTGGGATTTTCGCGTAGTCTGCATTTCTGCTTCACCGACCACAAGCGTAACCTTATGCAATAATGGGAAAGGCTTTGGAGTCGGCCAGACCGCGGCTCTCATAAATATATGGATAGATGTTCTCGCGCTCATGGTGTTTATCAAGCCATTTTCTAGTTATATCCTTCCCACTCCGTGACATCATCGCCCATCGAATACAATCATAATTTACCTTCTGGAAAGATGAAAGAGAATTTTAGTTTTTTTTGACAACTCTTTTTTCCGAGATTTTAGTTAGATTTTCTTTCGAAGGTGGATATTCTGAGACACGCCTCGCGTGTCTAACGGCGATTGTAGGTTCATAAATTTTTACTTTTGCTTGTATTCGATTTACTTTTTTTTCACACGTGTTACGGTTAATAAACATATATATTTTACGCATGGTTAATTTTACGAACATTTATCAATCTTTGGGAAATGGCGAATTTTTACATTTATTTCAATCATTAAATTATGCATTGAAAAAGCGTTTACGTTATAGTATTACTCTTAGAAATAAGAGATAAGACGCAGTTTAATCTTTAAAATACAAGCTGACCATTTAAGAAGAACGCAGGTAACAGCGGCAAAAACTGCTTGCGTAAGTTATGGACGCCTATAAATAAAATTATAAGTAGGCTGTTCTAAAGATTGTACTGAATATCAAATGCTTTATTGGGCGGCCAAAGAAACGAGTCAATAAGAAATTGATATTTGACTCTCTCTTTCACTCGTGTATCTTATTATTATTTATCAAAAGTAGAGTGTGCTAAGAAAAATATGCAAATTGCCCACTGAAGATATAGTACAATCTTAACTTTTTTATAATTACTTCGTTAATGAATTATGGTAGTTTAGAAAAGAGAAAATTAAATTTATGTTGCGAGCAAACGAAGCGTAATGGAGATATATAAAATGGACTATGATTTTAATAATTAATCAGAGGGAAGTGAAGATTACCACATCATATCCCACATCATGTGCAATATAGTCGTTCAATTATCGCGTTTTAGTCGAGAGAGTTCAACATATCAAATAAAAGTAACTCGGTTAAATGAATTTGTAATGAGCCTATTCTCATTAAACGAAATCTGTGACCGATGCATTAAATAATCAATACTATTGTTTACTAAATAATGTAAATGCTCAGCAATGTTGAAACTTTATGATGGTCTGTGCGAAATGTAAATATTTGTTTGATACATATATCGCGCGTATATCTGGCCTATAATTATACGATCAGTACATTGAACAAATATAACTACATATTTCTTGCGTAGTAATTATTTTCAAATAAAATATTATATGCAAGTGAGACCTTTTGCAAAGATGTCATTAGAACATGTTTACCTAGAATTACATTGGTTCACCTGCCAATAAAATGTCACTTGGGAATGATATGTGTAAAAATTAAGTTTAATGCTAAAGTATCTATGAATCAATTATGAAAGTAGTTTCAATAAAAAGTTACTGCGTCAATGGCTTAAAGTAGTGGTATATGTCTTTATAGGATCTGATAACTGTATATTAAAATCAAAGCATATAGTGTCAAAGAAATGAGAAAAATGTTGCCTTCATTTCGACATCGAGTGATTCAGGTGTTACGTTATTAACATCGACGCGGTCGATTGCCAGTTTAGACCTTCGATTCCTTTAAAAGTATTATTAGATGAACAAAAAATATTACTACTAAAACTTGGCGAAAGTGATTGAAAAAACAACACGTTGATTGCACCACGATGTGTCGAAATACAAATTTTCACGTCTCTTTCATGGTCATCAACGTGTGTGACATCGACCGCATTACTATGAGCATAATTAAACATTAGTTATAATTTCTTGACAACTTCCTTCGTGTGTATTGCGAATTTATTTTTTAATTAAATAACCATCGACCATGATGCCGGGATATATAATGTACATGTCACATGGAGAAAGTTAAGTCTAATTGTTACACCGTTTTGTATATGATGTACATCGTTTCACGCTATGGGTTTTGTTACGCTTATAAATCTTCTTATTATTAAATTTACGGCGTAAGTCGTCGAAATCGAGCTCGCTCATAAAGTCGGTCGTGAATTGATTGAGAAAGATTTCAATTTCTGCACGCAAACGTAAGTTTCGTTCTCGAAATACGTGGATGGTTTAAGTCAAACCGTTAAACTTTTATTTTCATGAACATAAGAATAAAAATCCCGGTTTGACTTGAACCACCCACGTAGTATAACGTAGCTTAATTTTTGCGAGAATTATGCGAGGTCAAAAAGTTTCTTCCTAGTCGCAAAGGTTAATTGCCTGCTAAACAGAATGTATCGATAGAAGTTATGTTTTAAACCTCGAGTGATACTTTATGAGTACTAATAAAATGTTTATCGAAAGTGTGCGTACGTGAAGAGCGTAGAATTAAATTTAAGATTGCCGATTGCTCACTGTCAGATTAATTCAAACATCCTCCACTATATTACCATCCACTTATGTCTTAGGATTAAAACTTGGACGCTAAAACTTATGTCTATAATTACAGCTTCCTATAGACTTTCAAATTAATTATAATATTATGGCAAATACGGATTTTAAGCAAATTTTTGAAATTATTTTTTTGAAATTAAATATATTTTTCTGTGAGATTGTCTACTATCGCGACTGATTACACTAACTTGTAGTATATTATTTATTACTTCGCTCCTAATTGTCTTTGTTTATAAGACGAATAGTGATGCGTTGTGTAATGCGCTAAGAGCTACGATCACCGTTATGTCCAATAAAATTTACACGAGGCGCAAATAAAAAAAAGAGTCCGCTTATAATGATTCTGATGTAAAGGTGAAAGAAAGAAAGAAAGAATGAAAGCGCGGATTAAGACGGGCACGCGAAAGAGTCGGATCAATTCCGCACTCTTGAATTGCGGTTCTTCCTTGGTGAGGGGATAGCGATTGGATCTAGTTGGAACGAACGACGGGGCGGCGACGTTACGCGGCCCGTATCCGGGCATCCGGTAGTAATCAACCTCACCAAGCGGTAGCCCGTGGGAAAACGGCTTAATGCTGAACGGTGCGGGATAGCAGCACAATCGGTCCACCTTAAAGCTGGCGTTCCGGCGTTGGACGTGCGATTTTCCGGGGAGTGGGCCAGCGAGCACGGCGAAAGTACCGGTATATATGCCGCTGATTGGCACGATGCAACTTCAGTGTGCACTCCCGAAGGCTACCATGAGCACTTCGCAGGTGAGCGTGCGCTGCTGGCACAGTGGCGCGTAAATAGGGCTCTGACAAGGGTATCTTTAGGGTATCTCGCACGGCGGAGGATTATGCACGGAATTATGCGCGCGATAAATGAGGAACGCGTTGGGATTTAGTATTATTGACGACGTGAGATTATGGTGTTGGTTTCTCACACCATCACAGTGTTAAAATTGTAGAGATTATAGTGTGATTCTTTGTTTCATTACAAGAGTGAAATTTCAATAATTTACTTTAAATAGAATACAATATTAGATATTTTATGTACTGATTATATTTTTATCTTGCAATGTTTGTCAATGTTTGATGTTTATAACAGACTATAATTTAACTTTGCTGTACATCGCGTTTTTTTTTAAATTTTCTTTGTATTGTCGATGCATTTCTTGTATTGTCGAATCATTTATTGTATAATGCGCGTAAAATTTTTGTGAACTCCAGCGAGACCTTCAAAGCTTCCCAAGTTAACCAAGCTAATCTAAATCTTGACCATGAAGGACCGCAATTAACACACGTTTATTCGCAGATCCTCGTGCTGCTCGCCCTTGTGGCGACAGTGGCTCTGGCCACTGAGACCAAGAAGTCCGACAGCAAAGGAGCCGAGTCAAAGGATGCCAAGAGCAAGCGGGGACTGGAACTGAGTCTGGGTCATGGTGGCTTTGGCGGTGGCGGCGGCGGTGGTTACGGCGGCCACGATTTCGGTGGCTTCGGCGGTGGTGATTTCGGCGGCGGTTTTGGTGGAGGTGGCGGCGGCGGCGGCGGCGGTGATGGAGGAAGAATTTCTGGCATCACGATCCATCGCGAAGTCTCGGTGCCAGTTCCGGTGCCCTACACCGTCGAGAAAAGCGTACCAGTACCTGTACATGTGCCGGTGAAGATTCCGATTGACAATCCGATACCGTATCACGTACCAAAGCCTTATCCGGTTCCAGTAGAGAAGACTGTACCAATCCCCGTAGAGAAACCGGTTCCAGTACCCGTCAAGGTGCCCATAAAGATACCCGTCAAGGTGCCCGTTCCATATAGCGTACCTGTTAAAATACCTTACCCCGTGGAGAAGGAATTGCCCTATCCGGTCAAGGTGCCGGTCGTCGTAAAGGAATCGTATCCGGTCCTGGTGCATGAAGGCGGTCACGGAGGTGGCGGCTTTGGTGGAGGCGGCGGCTATGGCGGAGGCGGTTTCGGAGGCGGACACGGTGGATTCGGTGGCGGACACGGCGGATTCGGTGGCGGTCATGAATTCGACCTGCATTGACGATAGTCCGATAACAATCGATATTAATGATACTCTTGTATATAATTATTATGTTTCCTTTTTTACACTGTGCTGTCTTAGCAGAATAAACATTAAATTATTAACTCGGCCTTTTGTAAAATCTAGCGTTACCTTATCCTTTGCGTTTGTTATTTACACGAGGAAATTAGCTCAAAGTTGAGCTTTATTCTACAACAAGTGAAAATCATTTCTCTGAGTGTATTATATTCTTAATTGCTCGCTTATTTCTACGGTTTTAACTACATTGCGCAACCATAGGGAAAAGAAATTAATCATCAATTTAAACGTTTATGAAACCAGCTTGTTGAATTTTCTTACGTAATACACTTACGAAGATATTGCAAGTTATCATAACTGCCACGATATAAACTGATTCTCAGCCACTTCCTGTGAAACTAGGCGGAACATGTTACAATGTGGTTACCAGGCGACATGTGAAAGTATCTCACCCAGTCATTATAGCCGTTACGGTTCCACACACAAGTTAGATGTACTAGGAAGCTTATTATCTAGTTAAGGATTATACGATAAAATCGCAAAATGCATTTACGTGTAAGAAATGACACACTTGTTATTTTTTTATACATCCATTTAATTATAGGAATGTAAGATAGATATATATTTAAAAGATTTGAGAATGATAGATTTAAAAATCTTGGAGTGCTTGCTTTCTAATTTTATCAAAATGTTTTCACATATAAATTGTTGTCTTAATTATATTAAAATCACATAATATTTTATTTTAATTACATTAAAGTAAATATTAAAACATAATTTATTTTACATTTATTTATTAATATAATTTAATTGAGTAATTAAAATATAAATTCATGTCCAAGAGGTCAACGTTATTTGATTGCATAAATTGTATGCAGACATTAGGGTGTAGCCAGATGTACGTCGAACATACCGGTCAGATACCTTTACTTCGACGTACAAGGTAGATCATTCCACAGTCAAGGTTGCTGGAAGAAATAATATCGAATATTTACCCTAGGCAATTTATATTTGAGCGCATATAGAACCGCGCGTATAGAGATTGCACGGTTTCTCTCACGGTAAGAGGAAGCCAGCTATGCGAACGGAAAGATGTGATTTCCGTAATCTTACTTCCTTGATGGTAATATTTCTCAACGACCAACTACGGAGGCCATCAACGTTACGTAAATAGTTCGATCGATCTTACGTAACTATTATGAAAAGAAAGTAAGCACCTTTACCATTAACGAAATCCATAATGACGATCGAATTCTGTATTGGCAATCTGTAATAGCGTTTCGCTCGGCGAGTTAACTAAGTATCACTTTCATTTATAATCTGCGCCATCGCTATACGCTTTACATGCGCGTGATGCTCTATTTTCTTTTTTCTGACTTCAACTATAATCTCGTAGTTCGTGTTACATCATGCCATTTACGGGACTCAACGCTCTGATTATTTTTCAGCAGGTTGTAAACGAGTAAGAATCCGAATATCGACAAACTACGACCGACGAATAACTCGCTTTAACCCGAGGCAATCGTTATAATGGTATATGGAGATGAATCAGAATCATAATTTGTCCTTGTTAGAAGCTTCTGTTCTTGAACTAGCTCCCTTTATACACAATTATTATTATTATATACCATTGTTAATGGAGGCAGAAGAAGATTCCATGCTATAATTCTTCATACGGTAAACAACGAGCTTCGTATCGTGATATGCATTATAAATTTAACTTACGAGTCTTCATCTCTCGTGTCTCTTCATTCAAATATCAGACTACATAATAAGATTACATAATAAGAGACGACTAGTGCAATCACAGTTTGTGAGAGATTTGAGAATGCAGCGATCGTAATAAGCTTAACAGATGATTGAATTAATTAAATTGTCATAATAGAAGACATGACGGAGTACAGAAAGAACGATTTTATCTAAAGATGAAAATAATTTTTTAAAACGTCAAAATAACTATATAAAACGCTCAAATGTAATAAGCAATCACTGTAAAAAGAAATATGTTTTATTCTTGTCCCTATTTTTTAAACACTTAAAGATGTTTTAGTTTTAAATTTTTTCAATAGACAAAACTACGTGTTTGGATTTAAAACGCATAGTGTTTTAATTCCAAATACTTGGTGTTTTATCTATATATATATTTAAAAAGTTTAAAACTAAAACATTTTTAAGTGTTTAAAAAATGAAGTCAAGAGAATAATACATTTTAATATCTTAAAATTTAAACACTTCTTTTTTCAGTGATACTGCAAAAGATTTTTTATTTAAGCCATTTTTTATTTAAGACATTTAAGCATCTTACATAGTTACTTTACAGTCTATATAATTATTTTACCGTCTAACAAAATTATTTTCAGACGTGTATCTATTTAGTTAAATTTGTACATACTTTAAATTTGTACATATTTTAGCAAAACCATTATCTCCGCGTACCATAAATAAAATCGTAGCAAGTAAGAATTTTTTAATATCTTTACAATCAGATTTAGAATATCTATATAACTCACATTTTTCTTTTGTATGAAATGAAGAAAAAAAGTAATGAGAACTGAAACAGATTAATAGTAAAATTGTAACTTTTCGCACAATCATTTGGGAACCCACCGACCCGAGTTTAATGCATCATGAAATTTTATAAGTGATAAAAAATAAAAACAAAAAGAGAACATGTAATGTTCATAGCTTTATTTCATCCGCACTATTTTTTGAATGAAAGAAAAGATATAATCTATGTCATATATTGGAGATAATTGTTTAATCGATATAAATAGAATAGATATCATAAAATGTTTAAGTGGGAATGTATGGTCTTTGCTAAAAGAAAACCGAAAAATGCCTTTTCTTCGCAAAAAGAACGTAAGCATGACAAGAGGCGTCACGACGTCTCGTCAGTCTAGCGATGTCGTTGTCGCCACGAACATCCGGCGCTTTAAACATCGCCATTTACTCTCACGGTTCGTTAGCCACGTGTCTCCCGCATTGGAATGGGATCGTCCGTAAAACATAGAGCTCTGCTTCAATACTTTTATTTGTTTAGTGTAACTCATCGTGATCGCGATTGCACGTACAGAAACTTTAATTTTGTTGTGGATCACAAATTTCAAATGAACTGATAAAATCCACATACGAGCGCGTTAAAGTAACGCAAATTCGTTCTGAGATTTCAGTACATGTGCGTTAACATGTGGAATAATGGAATAAATATTATAACATATAAATATAAATCATATTATTACACTTCCTCTCAGCTGTATTTTTTTATGGCGAGAAAAATGTTATTGTTACATTTCCTGCTCGTTGCATATGTAACTATATATTTGTAATGGGGATATTTTACTTTACTTATAATATTTTATTTATTTTAAAGTAATGTGAAATATATTAAGAAAACAAAAAATTGTGGTTTGTTAATCTGCCATGATATTTACTTAAAAATTATTATTATTCTACATATAGAAAGTTTATTTTTATGTGAAATAATTGACAAGAGTAATCGATTGACAGTAACTTTTTGAGCGAGAGATCTGGCTCTTATTTAATATGTCTACTTCAAATTGTACTGTGTCGCAATCTTGGGCAATTAGCAATCTTCCGCTTTGCAAAGATAGTAACTTGTATGATATCGCATATGCCGCAATCTCGTTTCAGTGAAACCGCGTAAGGAACCAGCGATCGTTAATGTACATTTCGTTGAACATGCATTGAAGGAAATGTGCTTTAAATGTAGTCTAACCGAATGCTCTAGATAATAGTGGGAAGTAAAATGATGAATTACTTAAAAAATTAAGAAATAAAGGTATTATTACTCGAAAAAGACACCAATATTGTAATATTTAAATTCTAAAAAAAAACATAATACATTAAAGAGCTTATTATACAAATCTTTCTAGATAGATTTTTTTAGAAAAGAAGATATAGGCATGTTTTTATGTATAAATTATAATGACCTGTAGGAAGAAATACATTAATATTATTAGGCAAAACATGTATTACATAGTGAAACGCGTAGTATAACATTTTCTCCGTATCTCTATGTTAGCGAATATTCGTCAGCATTCGAATGTTACCTCTATTTTGATGACATGGTCTTAAAATAAGTCTATGTTTTATTTTAAGCTTGTGTTCATGTACCATCGTAAATCAGGGAACATGATCTAAAGTCTTTCTCACAGTTTTAGCTTCATTTTTCATGATATTCCGCGTTCCAGAACAGATGCTCCATTATCTTGAGACTGTCCATTTTCTTTCATTTTTCGTAGGATACTCTTATACAGCGACAATGATCAGATAAATTTTATAACAATTCAAATAAAATAAAAATTTATTTTATTATTTTTTATTAAACGAAACATTTATATAATGTCTGTGTTTTAATAATTGCAGTTTTTTTTATATATGAACATAATTTAGTTTATTATCACTATTTTGTTAAAGATCCACATTTACATAAAATGACATTTGAAAATTTTTGGCGTAGCAATATTGCTTGTATATAATGAGATAGAAAAGGGAGTGAGAGAGAGAGAGAGAAAGAGAGAAAGAAAGAATACAGCTAATTGCAAACTAAACAAATCTGAAATAAAATTTTATTTTCAATCTCGACAATCTATTGTTTTTACATACGATTATAATTAGTTATTGATTAATTGTCAATCTGCTGTTAACAAAATTTAATTATTTATGACAATTCAGTATCAATTATTCCTACAAAATTAATCTTATTGAAGGTCACTAATTGTTAGCTAATTAATGATATATAAATATAAATTATCGGATTAGATTATTTTTCTTTATACTGCATCGAGCAGAAGAAACGTCTTTATTAATTCACAAGACACGTCTTGACGGATTTCCAAATTAGCAAAGTTTCCTTTAATCCCGTCGTACTCCTTTATAACGTTCGTGCAGCTACAGCATCGACCTATCCGACATGAGATGCATTCTTTTTTTCCGTGCTGTAACTCCCGCGTCTTAAACAGGCTTCGTTTGTTGTTGTCGGTAGTGGAGAGAAAGGTGCTGCGGAAAAACGAAATAACGTAGTACAGCGAGTGTTAAAGCCCAATCGATTTGAAATCGGCACTAT